CTATTAAGCGACGGGAAAGCCCAAAAGACTACTCACTTTTTATTTACTCGACCTTGCGAAAGCCGATGTTGCGAAAGGATTGTGTGCCGAATGATTTTTCCGTGGTGGTAGATAGCCTTTATACACCAATGTTAAGGAATCAGATAAATCGTTGGGAGGTTGAAATTTTTAGGACTCCATGCTAGCACTTTCATTACCAGTTATTCCTAGGAAATTTAACTGCCACAGCTCGTGATTTTATTTTTTTGCTGGTTTTGACCAATGCAACTGCTGCGCGAAAGCTAAAAGGACGTGGGCGGCCGCGTACAAAGACCATTCTGTACTCATTTTATTGTTTTAAGCTCATCTTACCCATTTACAACACAATTTGGCACAATCTATTGTCACAGGATGATCAATTGCACATGTCACAGAGTTGTGTCAGCGTGTTCAAATTTGCCTCCCGGGGCCTCACATATCTATTGTTTTCAATTTGCGTATTAAGCTCATCAGGTGTAATGCTCCTTATAGGAACACTTAAATTGACATTTTTTGAATGCCTAGTTAATCTATCCCATGTTTATTTTCCAAAATTACTGTTTCTTTGTCACCGTATTCGAAACAAAATTGAATAATCGGAGGTTTTTCTAGGGAATGGCTTCTATCAAAATGTACATTTAATGGATGAAGCTGCAAAAACCATGAGTATTATATATTCAAATAGGAGCGATTTATCTCCAAGCAGCAAGCTAGTTCCGAGAAATATCATAATAACTTACTTCCCCTTCACCGGCAAATTCAAGCACCAGCCACACTGGTTCATCTCTGCACACGCCGTAAAGCTTAATAATGTGTGGATGTGTCAACTTTGCATGAAGGTCTGTTTGAAGGAAAAGAAGGAAATTCCGAGACGCAAGTTTACATGAATTTATGAAAAGCAATAACTCATCAAGGTAAAAAAAGCATGATATAAATTCAGGCATTTATACACAAAAGCCTAAGAAAATGACTGCATATGGATTCTCCAAATGAGCTATTGGTGTACTATTATACTATGCCTCGGAAGTGCACACCCTCTTCTTAATCAAAGTTCTTTCAAGCGACTGTTTGCACTTAGTCATTGCTTCCGGACTTTTAAAAAAAATACTTGTTTCATTAAAAATTGCCAAACAATGAACATTTTGAAGAATTAGACACCTTTCGGTAATGTTAAAGAATTTGGCAATTGTTATTCTAATCAATGGCAATTTACGATTAGGGAATGCTTGTATAAGCTAGAAATGCTAATTCCTAAGCAGTAAGTACTCTTCGATGAGGTTTTGTATTTATTACAAGTAAATTATCTTAACGGAAACTACAGAATTCAGTTAGAAAAGAAGTACACTTTACAAATCGTAACGCAGGCAAACTGCTTAATCAGTTGAAATCACTATAATTTTCGTTTAAAACGGAACATTCTCTTAAGTGACTAACACAACTCCTAAGTATCTATCACTTGGTAAAAACAGGAGTTAGTAACTTAAGCCTTAGAGTCAAACAGATTTTGAATGCGTAAAAATGCACAATATATAGTCAACTATATATTTAGGAATACGCCGTAGCCTTCTAAAAGCTACCGCTCTGACAAAACGTCAAAACATTTAACCATGCATGAATGTTACCAGTTTAGTTTGGCACACGACGGGGAGTGTGCATACAGGCCTGGTTGAATGAGCTAGCAATTTTGTGCAAGATGAAAGGGCTCTTACAATTTGCGTGAGTGCTTCTGTTGCATGTGAGTGCACACATCCTCCGCCTTACCCGAGCGATTACACAGTGGATAAGTCTCCACTGTGCCAATCCGATTTGTGTGCTCTTAAAATGCCGCAATGATGGTCACACTCACCTGCTTCTTCCAACCATCGCTGCTTCTCCTCACTGCCTAATCCTACCTTGCAGGCCTTCACTGCAACTAAAATTGTTGAGGATCCAGCCTCCTATTGAGAGAAAACGTAAATATTCGCTTCAGCCAACAGCTGATTAATAGCTGATATCAGACAGCGGGTATATTAATGACGAAAGAGACACAAATAACAGCCCTGTTCGAAGGCAAACGCAGAATAGATGCGAGTACAAGGCAGTTGGGTTTACCGACCATTTGTTTAGGGCGATGTGATAGGAGTGGAGCAACGAAACAACTTACTGGAGGTCTGTAAGTGCCTTTATAGACATCACCAAATTGTCCCTCCCCGAGGACGCGTTCCAGAGTGATGTGCGACCGAAGGAGATATTGGTGAATTTGTGAGCATTTTCCATCTAGAGATTGGTAAAATGTTAGTAAATGCTGTGCTGTGTGACTAAGTTATTTTGCTTCGTATCGCAAGCCGCTACCTACTCCACCCTTATCTAGGCAGCGTTTCAACTTCCTTATGAGTGACATGTAATCTTCATCGCTTTAAAATAACCGACTGAACTAAATTGCGCAGTAAGCAGATAAATCGAAATTAAAATAACTAAGTAGATGTGGAAGGATTATACAACTTTAAAAAAGCAATCATGATATCCAAATGTATGCCACATAGCTTGAAAATGAGAAGGATAAGGTAAAAAAAATTGTTTGGTTGGTGCATGCAATAAAATGAAGATTTCACATTAGAGGCACCTTTGTTTGAAAACGAGAATGACGGTTTGGCTGAAACAATACCCACATTGTCTAAATTTAAAATCATGAGCGAGTACGAGTTAAATCCTGCTCTTTGCTATTAAACTAGGGCAAAATGTGTGCAAATATGGCTAGCGGAGTTCTAGTAACTGCATGCATTTTACAATTGTTATGCACCGCGTAAACTTCGAAAATTTGCAATTTCACTGAGGAGTAACTTACATTGGTCGCAGGCTGACAGATCCATCAGTGGTCTGTAAAATGCCACAATAACTTCTCAATGTCATAAAATTCTCGACGATTCGGTACACATTACTAGCAATCACAGCATTAAAAATAGACTTAATTCCGTTTTTATTTCGTTATAAGCTTTACACAAAACGCACCTGAAAGGACAACCATTTAAAAGAAGTGGGCTGTGCTCAGCCGCTGCTGAATTCGTTTGCATGTCAGGAGAGAGTTTACAATAGCCTTCAAGTGTGTGGAGCACCGTGTCTGCAGTCAACTTTGAGTCAAAGGTGAAAATTATCGGCTGTTCGGCATCCGGATCATTGGAAAGAACCAGTTTCACCTGGTACCGTCTGCCCTCCTTGCGCGAAATTTCGGAAAAGATTATCTGTTGGATGCTGGCGAAATAGCAGAGCAGTCGAACCTGCAAAATTGATAATTTGTTAACCTTCCGCTAAAACTAAGCAACAGGTATCAGAACAACAGGCCGAACTAGAATACATGGGATCTTAGTGACACATTGGAAGATTAGATTTGTTAAAATAAGACCCACGCAGATTACAAAAATAGACGATTAATGTTGACAGACCTAGTAATTTCTCTCATACATGCCATAAGTACCTAATAACGCTATTTTTGTTATATTAGCTCCCATGAACACAAAAGCTAGGAAGGCCAGATTTCAGATACGCTAGGATAATTAGAAATTTTCGTTTGTGATGCTGAAGAAACGAAACGTCAGGAACAGAACCAAAAATTATTAACGAAAAAAGTGCAAGTAAACAAGGCAATTTCCTAAAATCAACACATTATATACTTGCTACCTAAACATACCGAATAGCTTATGCAGGGCGTCTCTAGTATTGTTATGAAACAAAAACAAGTTCACTGTTATTAGGTATAGTTATTCGTGTCAATATTTTGTTCAGTTAATTTGGCATGAAATTATATCACTGTTATCTTAGAGCAAAACTAGTGAAGTTCGATGTTGCGCATGCACCAAATGCTTAAATTAATTTGGTGACGGGTAACCAAAGAGCTCACAGACCTGAACTTTTTTATCGTGGAGGGAGCCGTGAACTGCATGCAAGTGCTTATTTGCATGCATTATAAAACACAAACGTGCATTAGTCTACTTACACAAAGCTCTTTATTGTGCTATCTGCTATTTTCTTCGTATTTTGAATCAGTTGAACCTATGGTGATTTTAGCTTGTCTACTCTGCACAACGAGTTGAACTTGTTTCTTAAGCTCTCGAAGCCTCTCCTCCAATTGTTTACACACACATCAAGTGGGATGGAAAAGTTGTGGTAACTGATTGAATGGATGTCACATGCTATCCGCTAAGCAAATGAAAAAAAAACGTGAATGACCACCAATTTTTTCTTCAATACACCTTGCAAAACCCATTTTTGCGAAAGAACTGCGTGCTGACTGATTTATTTTTAGAAATATATACAGTTTAGTACTTCAACGTTAAAGCTGTCGAAATGTGCTTAGTTGTGGCATTTAACGCCCGATTCGCTTCTAAGGCTGTTCTGGAGATGGAAATGCTAACTGGGAATTGTCTACTTAATGAAAGGCCACAACACTGCGACTGAAATCTATCTACCTTCATACACCCCGAACATGCGCGAGGCAAATTTTTCCGAAATGTTAGAACTAGCCATACAGTGAGTAGGAAATACTATACTTTCGGGTTTTACACCAACATGAAAATGGCCTGTGAAACTTGCACTTGCAGATAAATGATAAACATTAAAGTGATGACCACCACCCCTTCTTCCTATAGCGTACGAGCTTGCAAAATAGGCTAGCCAGTCAGGAGGTAAAATTGAGGCAGAAATGAAGGTGAATAGAGGTAGTTTTCCTTTATCTACTGAGGACTTAACCTTTTTACAAAAGTAATTGCAGCAGGTTTGTCTTGTTAAGAAATAATTTCTGATCGTAGTGTGCATCCAATTATTAAACGAAAGCTTTAAGAAATCTTCCACTTTACTTAATTCTAGTAAAAAAACACTTCAAAAACCTTTTTCATTGCCTTATACAATCCGGGCATCCTTGCAAATTGACAACAACGCTTCGAAAAATGAATATTGCTATAATCCACATTACCTTTCACATACAAACCGAATAACATGTCAACTACCATACTACGAAATACAAAAGAATAAGCTGTTCCTGACGTAGCGAAAGGAAGGGAATCATTGCTTTTAACTTCTCGTCTCAAGTATTTTTAGCAGTAAGAAGCTTCAAAAATCCACCCATTATTAATAATGTTTTCTTTATGAAACCATTTAATTGAGCATTAGCAGCTGGTACTTGCGATTTAACCACAAAATTTATTGACACCAAAACCCGATGAATATTTAAGATTATTTTCTATGTTAAATTTAAACGAAAAAAGTAGGGATCCATTTCACCCTCAGCAGAGATGATTAAATTTAACAGACTCTCTCTGGCTACTGGGCAATTAATTAGGTATCTTATGATCGGGCTTACAACATTAGGGCATGCATTATGAGCCCATGACTATGGGGACTGTAAGCTTGGGGATTTGATGTGGCTGTGTGCTGAATCATCAATTGGCGCAGTACGCGCGGAAGTGTAACCACAGAATGGCAAAATTGCACCCATAAGGCCGCGAGCTTTCAAAGCATTACTGGTCACTGCTCCCTTCCCAACCGGTCAAAAGGCGTGCTCCTCGTTGGAGGTTTTAAACGAAATTCATTGTGGAAGAAAGTAACAGTTAGATTATCTCATCCGAATCAAGTGCCACGCTATCAAAAATTAAATGTGTGGAAAACCCATTTTATATCATTGAACACTTATGAAAGCAGATAACTTAGATTCAGGTTAGCTTAGACAATAAATGAACAAAAGCGTACGGTTTTGACACATTACACTGCTTCATTATGCCATATCTTTCGGCATATCAGAGGTATATAAAGGTAATATGCAAATATCGAACAGTTCTAAGTGAACAGGTGTGTTGCAACTGGAACAGAGGCGTGAAGAAATGTGCACGAGTGATCAGGTTCATATGCATTCGTAGGAGTATAAACAGGAATAATAAGTAGGTGAAGAGATGCCCAAATAACTGGAAAAGACCAAAGATGTTTTGACGAAATTCACGCATTGATATTAGATAGAAGCAATAAGGTGAAATGTATTCACATGACATCGACAGGACTCCGTACTGGTAATTACAGAAACGAACCTCCACAATATCCATACACCATATACACAGTCAAGTAAGTGCATCTTCGATTAGATTATATACTTTTGTGTAGATTTCTAATGCTCCATAGCAAAATCCATTGCTGAATATTTTGGAGGTCTAAAATTCTTACAAGGCGACCACATTTGGAGTTTATATTCAAAAACTTTTAAGTGCATTTCTCGCTTACAAAATTATTCATCCGCAGAACAAACTTGCTAGTAGTTCAGACCTGTGATGTGCAGCTCTTTGTCTTATTAGCAGTTTTTTCTACCCCGCAAGGCAAGACAATCAAAATGAGTGTTTTTTGAACGCATTTTATGCTAGGTTACAGCAATTTTTTCACGGTCAAAGCAGTGGATACTAAAGCAAAATCCAAAGATGCAAGTTTTTTAGTCTTGGACCACAGCTAATGGAATGTTGCATTAAACGAAAAAAAATGAAATATTTGTACCTTTCCAATGTTTGAATAAGAAATCCCTATATTCTAAATGAAAGGAGGTAAAAGCTGAGACTAATTCGTATGCGAGCAAATCAGTAAGATACTACCCGGTCAAAACACACATACAAATGGCTTTAAAATAAGACTGACATCACAAATCCGAGTTAAGAAACCAATTAGGTTATCCTGAAATTGTTGCTTATTTTCTATTTTATGCAAAGACTAAACAATGCAAAACTATAGTGCGGAAAATGTTAGTCCATTTTGCCATAGGTATATGATGTTTTGGGCAGTCAAGTATATCTTGGGTCCAGGGCTGAGCAAGGAGTAATCAGAATAAGTACAAACCTTAACGTCAGTTCCATGTCAATTATTTTTGGTTAAACTTAAAAGTTATTTGAACCAAAGCTCACTTCATCCGTATTTTTAATATTGACACGAACTTGAGAACGGGGTCCCAAAAGTAAGCGAATTGGAATACCCAGCCCGGCCTGCGATAGAAAAGACTGAATTAAATGATAACTAAGCTGCAATTTTACGTATTTCACCTAAAATGCTCGTCATTCACAAATTAATGAATGTGCGTCTAAAAACATTAAGATAATTAACTAAAAATATGAAAATTAAAACTAAATTATCCCATATGAGAAAACAAAATAAAATGCATCAACTTACGCCGAGATAACATGCGTAGGAATCACTATCAAACTGCGTGAGCATTAGCAGGCGGTTCAGATGTTCAAGCATGCAATCTTCTTTTGAATAGTAATGAAGGTTTAAAGCGTAGTTAAGAATATCTCGTCTCAAATACTTTGCCTAATACGTTGTTCATAGTTGTTTTCAATACCTTTTGCCGATGCAGAACGTGAGAGGGGAAGAACGTTGAAAACCCTCTAGATTTATCAAGTTGATCCAATAACTCCTCAGTTATTTCACAATCAAACGACAATCTTCAAAAATAAATTTAAAAAAATGCTTACTTAATGTCAAGACAACCAATTTCAAAGCAGGATTGGCTGTCTTTACAATCTTCCCATACTGACTTATAAAACCGATTAACCTAAAATTTGTCACGAGAGTGTAAAATGAGCAAACTTGGTCATGTAGGTAGTGCAAAGTAGAACGATCTTTCCGCATATAATCCTCAAAGTTTGTTAAGAACAATCTAATTGATAAGAGAATACTTTGTTCATTAACAAGTCCAGCAATTTCAGACCAGGTTAAATAAGGACAGAGGAAAAGACGATCCCCAATACTTGAAAGCGATTCACGAAGTTCCAGACCAAACATTAACAAGCTATTTGAAATCGATACCTTTTTAATAGCTATCTTTGTTATTTCCTGCGAAGAAGTCAAATTAAAAATTAACTAACATCCACAGACGTAGATTGCGAACACTTGATTTTGACATATCCCAACAAAGTAGAAACCGTAACTATATCTGATATGCTTTGGTCCATGCTGTCAAAGGCACTCAATCACAGATTTGCATAATCCGAGGTGAACGCGAAAATGTGATAATAAGACTCAAGGCCCAAATTAAGACTCGAGTTACTCAAGTAAAACAATGGTGCATTCTAACAAAATGACATTTAGAGTTTACTGTGAGCAAAAAAGCCCTCTAAAATTAAAACGGCTGTGTTTTATATAAATGCTTTTAAAAATGTAAGTCCTAGGACCTGAAAGACAAAGTCATTAAATTTTGTCGTTGACGCACCAAACATAAAAGAACGCGTTTTTAAAATGACGCCGCATCTCAAATAGATACACTGTAAAAAATGCAATCGAAAGCAGTATATATGCTTAAAGAAAAAAATAAAAGAGTAATTTTCACCTACGTCTGCTCAGCGAGATGGGAAAAAACCTTAACTAAAAAGTCTTTAAATTAAAAATTGAAACCAGTAATTCCCTAAACTTTTCTCAAATTTTTATTACTATAGATTTAAAAGTCATTCAGCTTGCTCAACTCGTGAATCAATCTTAATAGTGGTGGTCAAAAGTATGTAAGTCGAATCTCGTTTCACAAAAATAATAAAAAATAGGCTCCTATTTAATATGGTGGTTACCAAACCCTTACCTTTAGTAAGAGTGTTATTTTGGACTACCATTCTGCCACCTTCTTTAGGTGGACTTGCCTCTGGCTATGTTAGAAGTCCCACTACCATCTGCTTGTCGATAATATATACTCTGCTCCATTAATGTCTTCCTTTGTCCCCAGGAGAGTCTTGGGGCACCACATTAGTGGCAGCGCAAAGCAAGTCCGACCTTAAAAGAATCTATCCTGATTTCTACTGCTGCATGATAAACCTCAGCTGGGCGGAAGAAGTGCATTTACTACAGATGGGAGAAGCTGTTGCGACCCATAACAGAAGGGCGGAAAATGTTATCTATTTTCCGCAACTACGTCAGCTTTGCTTTCTGTAGGAAAGCTATTAATAACGGAAGAGACACTGACAGTCAACCTTGTGGAAAAGTTCCTTACGGAGCGAAAACGCGATACCCCCTCCACTTCTCTACTAGCTGGATGGAACCCGGAGCGGTATGGCTCTGAAGTGAGAACAAAGTGACGAGAAACAGACACTAAATCCTACCCCCACAGAACTATGTTAAACCCTGCTCTTTGCCACATGACTCTGCTTTGAAGCCGGCGTTCCTACGACTGACTATGGGCACGCGGGATAGCCAATATATTCCCTGTCCCCCAGTCCGGTTTCCAGACAGGAAGAAACTCTTGATGCAGTAGGAGTGACAGGATAGATCAGTGATGTTGCGGTCAAGCATAGCCCGAGTTGCATGGAAAGTCCATGACTGGCGCAGTTGGTTCCTGGAATTTTCGTACAGCACCGAGTAATAATTGGTGGCTAAACCAAGGGATCGACTAAGCAAAGCCTTAAAAAAGACGCTCTCTAGGTGAGGGGATTACGCAATACACCGGTTGTTTAACTCGCAGTTTTGGTAAAGGAGCTGCTTTGGATCTTTTCGATTGTATCCTCGCTGCATGGGCTGGCATCCGGGCCAAGCTAGTAGCCTTAGGCTTTATTGTGTGCAGAAAATATGATTTTATGCTGCCTAGATAGTCTTTTTTGTTTTAGGAGACTTTCAGTTTTACTCACGTTCAATCAGTTGTGAGTGTGGCTCATAGACACTTTTCACTACTTTTCACTACAATAGTTCCTCCACTGGTGGCTGCAACCACATTTAAATTTCAAACAAATAAAGTTTAAGCGGGGGCTCTGAATATTAATCAAATTAGGTAAACATTGAGGCGCAACTGCCAACGTTTAATAAGCAAAATTTTTTAGGCTTGGGCTTTGAAACTTGTAGCGTCCCGAGACTCCCTGAAGACGAAAGAAGACAAAATACTCGGGCAGAATATACATTTTCAGCACGGAGGTATCTGGGCTATTGGCATGGCTCAAAAGGCCAGCCCACCCAGCGAGGTGCAAGGAGGCTAATTCAAAGCCCAAAAGTGGCGCCTCACCAGAACCGAGGGATAAACCACTATCGTATTACACACTAATTTGTGGCTAGTTCCGTAAAGTTCTTAGGAAAACCTAGAGTATTACGTGCTTTGTGGAGTTCAAAACGGCAATTTAGGCGTTGCTATGCAGTTTGCCTACATGTTTATACACTTGTGTTTCCTCCTACGTATTTGTGCTAGTATTTCATAGCAAAGCCTTAAAGACTGAAACTTGTTTTCCAACGGAGGTTCGCCAGCTGTCTTCTTGGTTTCATTTCGCAACAACTTTTGCAATGTAAAATTTTTTAAATTTTTTTTAGCCTGGAAATTTTCAACACTTTGCAAATCTGCGCCATAATTTTTATTTGTGTAATTCTGTAAAAAATTATTTGCGTATGCTGTATCTTTAAACTTTTCAAATATTGTTTTTTTTATGTTTTTAGTTATTTTTTAAATTAATGTCTCTTTTACATTCCTTAGTTGCTTTTGAGGGGGTCTTTAGGGGGAAATTCAAGTACCTTCATTTGTTTAAATCATTTGATGTATGTCAATATGTCTGCATTGGGGAAGCTTGTTATTCTTTCTCTTGTTGTTTTATTTGGCCAATGACGGTCTTCTTGGTTGCAGATGACTACATAGTGCGTCTTACTTCTCCTTGCATTAAATTACTCAGGTGCATATATTGTGCAATGTGTAGGGAACCGTTTTTTTAATAAAGTTATTTCGTTTTACTGAGATTAATTTAATTTGACAAGTTTTAGGAATAATGAATGGTGATATAAGTCGAATTCCAATTCAGTCATTTGGAGCAGTCTTTAGCTTGACGGACATATTGCCAGAACTCCCTCTACCATCTGCCTTTCCACACGGATCTAGTAGTGACAGCCTTCTTGCTGATCCAGAAATTTCAAACGATGTCATGCGATGCCTTTGTTCTAAAGATGAAAATCTGATTGGTAGCATCACTGAAGCCCTGTCCAAGGTTTCGACGGACAATATGTACGTCGTTGCATTTCCTGTTGACTTTTCTTATATAGTGATCTCGATGATGACAATGCGACTGAACCCGTCGAGAACCCCACTCTTCCTCCAGTCCTCGTATCTGTGCTTCAAAGAGATGCTTCTATATTTCGTTCGAAGTCAAACTCCTGCATGCGTATTAAGTCAAATTCTTTCAATTTCAGTCGCGATATTCAGCAGAACTTAAATGATTCTGACATTCGTAATCACGGTGAGCATTCATGGTATCAATTTATAGTTACGTGTGTTACGGTTGATTGCTGAATCCTGGCTTATTTTAGCATTTGACGAGGAGTCTGCATCCCCAGGAAAGCGGAAGCATAAGAAAAAAAGGCGAAAAAAACGAAGGTTGGAATATGTAAATCAGGAGGCCTCCAGTGGGGGAGAGTCCAATGCTGCTACACCTGGTGGTTCTGTAAGCGATGATCATTCGAACGACGCGGATGATTCTACTGCACTAACTCCCTACGGCGTCAGCGTTGATGTCAAACCTGATGAGAAGAAGATCCTGCTTAAGTTCTCGCTCAAACGTCCCACAACCAGCGAGGCCAATGCGCCATTGGATTCTTTATCTAGAGACCGAAAGGAGAAAAAGCATAAAAAGTCTAAGGACCGTGGAAGGAAGCGGCATCATAGCCGAGACAAGGGGTTCTCCCTAGTGGATAGTGTGAGTCGCGTTGAGCCGCTTCTTCCGTCAGCCAATGGAGTTCCTATGACCGCTAAACCGGTCCTTGTGTCCTCTCCAAGTGCGACAAGGGAGCCATTTAGTCTCAAATCTTCGGTCTCAGCCCCGCATTCCCCTCATCCTGCGGTTGGTCGGATCGGGAGTCCGGACGCCAATCCACCGTTCGATTTACAAGGCGTCTTTGATCAAGTTAAACCCGATTTCGCTGTGTTCCACGAAAACTTCTTAAAGGGCTTGCCTCAATCTGTAATGGCCCATTCCAATTCCCCAAATCACCCTCCCAACTCCTCCGCACTGAATTACACCGACTTCCTAGCCGCTGATTTGCTTTCTGTCACAAATCTTTCTCCCCCTATTGCCCACCCTCCTGCGGTGCAAGGTAGCGGTGATAGTAGTGTTTATCGGGGTTCCTTCATGATCGCTTCACACCTCGAGTACGATACGAAGTTACCTGGAAATTTCCTGGAGCACATATCCGACCTACAAAATGCGTCGTTGGACATTTCGACGCACACTAAGCCTCCTGAACCTAGCTTTTCTCAAGCTATCCCCCTGGGTTTAGCGAGCTATCTCAATTCCAGTAAGCCACAATCATCGACCTCCATGCCCGCACCAGTTGCCAAAGTTGCTCCTGCTAAGCCCGCAGCTAGACGGAGAGCTCCTGTATCCAAAAGTAAGCTTTTCAAATCGAGCTTCTTGTGATTATTTCACTTATAACGTTCCCGTCACTCTTCCAATTGATTAGGACGAAGATGTAATGAGGTGGAGGGTTTGCGCACTTGGACGGTCAAATACCCAGGTCAAAGAAATTCCGATAGGAATTCGGATGAATCTTCGGCCTGGGATGCCGCGGTTGATCGGCAGGCTAACTACTTGCGTAACAAACGTCGACGCATGACCAGGCAGCCCACGGCTCTCGCTGCCGATTATGTTTTGGAAAATGACAAAGACTACCCCAAGTATGCACACACTTTGCTATGCTTTGTTCTTGCTGGGAAATAACTCATTTTCTTGTCCCCGTAGACCTCTTCCGCGTCGAAGTAGTGCTGAAGATATGGTTGCAACGGCGGAGGTTGGTAGCATCGAGGATTCTACATTGGATGCTGAAGATCCTATTGCAGTCTCGTTGCGTTCGTCTCGAATGGGTCTTGGAGGTGTCAGTGGTGCGGGTGCTAGTCGTTGCTCTTACGTTGGGATGGATGGTGACACTGAGGATGTACCCGATGAAGAATGTTATAAGGACGGCGGTAGTGTTCGAAGGCGTCGAAGACCTGACGACGATGATGCACCGTTTGAGGGTAAGGTTTTACGGTTTTCCTTACTGTATTACCTTTAGTTTCCTCATATTTAACTTTTGCTCCGCATTTATTCGTTAGTTCGCATTAAAGAGCCAGCCGAACAGAGGTTTCCGCACTTGCAGAAGGTCGCTGCGGAGCACTCTCGGCCAGTACGGGAGCGCGTTCATCACAAGCTTCTAAACTCTTATTCGGAGGTCGTGGGCTCTTCTGACGCCGCATCAGCAAGTAGTTTAAAAAAATTCCTCTCCCATATCGACCATGTGCTCGAGGCTGTAGAGGAGGTGGATCTTCTAGCCAGCGGAGACAGCGCCGGTGACGATGGCGTCTTAGCGGAAGCTATAATTTCTCCTTCCAATATTGCGGAGCTGTGTCGTGACGCTGCGAAGCTGAAGAGCACGCATGCGGCCAATCAAGTTCCCACTGATCGTCTTCTCAAATTACTTACTCTCCTTTTACTCAACATTCGTGACGGAGCGAGCGTCATCCGCGTCGTTGGGGATCAGGAGGGCATGGAGAAAATATCCCGTTCTGTTGGTGCCAGTCTAATTGCGTTGAATTTGATGACTTCTAAGGACATGCCTCGCGAAATCTATTTGGAAGATGTAATAGAACAGGCGGTTCAGGTGACCCGTTTCCAGCTCTCCAATTGTATCTACCCGGAGTATGACCCAGCCTACAGAATTGAAAACTCAGCGAAGGACAATCAGAGTAGCATAAAGTCTCGGCGTGCTCGTGAGCGCGACACTCATAAGTCACCTACGGTTGTCCATCTTTACTACCGTCTTTTAGAGATCGTCACAGGATTGGCCGAGCTGGTTAGTATTCAACGCCTCACTGATAGTCTTGTGCTCTCACTCTATTCCGTCGGTGTGTCAATTTTTTTTGTGGAAAACGTCAGCGAATTGCAATTGGCGGGCCTTAAATTGGTTACCGGGGTCTTCGCTCAGTATCCTTTCTGTCGGAAACTTATTATTGAGGAAATTATCACCGGCATTGCGCGTCTTCCCTCGAGTAAGCGCAATCTCCGAACATACAGGTATGTGCTTATCATTCGAGGCTTGAGGGACGTTACGCACTTTCAAAGAAAAATTAATTGAACATTTTAGGCTGAACTCCGAGGAGAGTATTCAGATGTTCACGGCCCTGGCGCTTCTCTTGGTTCAGTCAGTGATTGAGCTGCCCACCTCAAGTGCTTCTAGCCAGCAGCGGGTGTCAGACGGTGCGAGTGCTGAAGACAAGTTGGATAGCGGTGGAAATGCAACTGGACAGAATGCACCTGTTGTGCACAGGCCAGATGATGAGGTGCTGGTCACGAGTTCCTACAAAAAAGCTATTATCACAGCGCATAATTTCCTTTCCGCATTTCTCAGGAAGTAAGTCTCAAAGTCACTTCTCATTTCCCATCTTTTGGCTGTTATAGTCTAATTATGTCTGAAATCTGGTTTCGATGTCTTAAAAGCGACTTTTTCCAAAGAGTTCTGTTCATGGCTCCAGTAGTGTTATGGATGCATGAAAATTGGGACCCGAATGCAACATTTTACTCGAATGCGTGATTCGACGGGAAGTTCTGGATTTACTAGTTATGTATACTCCTCTAGATTAGCATCCTATTTATCTCACCTTATAACTGTCAGATCTGAAGGGCTAGCCTTTCTTCGCTATTCCAAGGGCGTTGTTCTGGCTTGAAAAGTTGATTTCTTAAGAGCTCTCAGGTATTTGTGAATAACAGATGCAGTAATCTTTAGAGCACTTACACTTCCCTTTCTAATAACAGATCAACGACTAAAGGCGAAGACGATTATCGGATTATATTTGAGAACTTTGTTAACGATCTCCTCCTCACTGTGAATAAGCCAGAGTGGCCGGCGGCGGAAGTTATGCTGAGCCTTCTTGGAAGCCTGCTGGTTCAGCAGTTCAACAATAAATCACTTGACCAGTCGATCCGGGTGACCAGCGTTGACTACCTTGGTACAGTGGCTTCGACTCTGCGTCGGGACGCAGTGACGAGTCAGCTGAAGGAGCATGACATAAATGTTATTCTGCGTGAACTAACTGAAGGTAGTCAGTCGGAAAGCGAAGAAGAGGATGATGAAGAGGGGGGCGGTGGTGATGCCGACAAAAAAAGCGTTAATGAGGTTTGTTCCTCTTCAACCAATTCATTTTTGACTACGGACGTTCGAAAAGCGGGAGAGGGATCTGAAGACGTAAAGGATATGAAAGAGGAAAAGAGATCAAAAATGAAGAAGTGTTTGGAAGTGAATTTGTCTAAGATGGATAAAATACTTGTTCTTCGAGACGCCGTTCTAGACTACCTTCTAGAAGACGAATCTGATCCTGTTGTAGTTGTAAGTATCTATGGAAGGTTTAGCCCGCAGTTTCGTTGTGGTGACGCCGCATGTGCCTTTTCGTTTTTTCCCTTAGTATGCCTGCAAATTCTACATGGGTCAGTGGCTTGAAGATTGCACCACAGAAGTTGAACGCGCACATAAAGCTGCTGCTGAGAACCCTTCGCAGGAGTCAACGCATCAGAAGCTGGGAGTTCGTCGTGGGAAGCGTAGTAAAATTGACGACATCGAGGATGAGAAGGAAGCTGCTGCTCTCTCTGATGTTGAGTTGGCAGAATTGCGTCGTGCCTATCTGATGGATCGTTTACGTGATCCTCCTTCGGTTTGGCGAGCTCGTTGCCGTCCCAAGGTAGCTGGAATGATGCCCCCGACGTCAACCTCTGCTTCTATCGTATCTAAACAGTCACAAGCCCTGCGTGTCGTGTTCAAGGGCTCTATTGATTACGAGGATGCCTATCTCATCTGTCGCTATCTCGCTAGTCTTCGGCCGTTCTCTCAAAGCTTTGATATTTATCTTTCACAGATTTGCAAGGTAAGTATACGCCTAATATAGCGAATACTTTTGGGGAATTAATTACATGGAATGACATGACTGGAAATTATGTTTAGCTTCTAAGCGAATCATCAGTTCCCGTTCGAACGAAAGCGCTACGATGTCTTTCGGCCGTTGTGGAAGCGGATCCTGGCGTGCTGGCACGTTCAGATATTGAGATGGCCGTACGTTCTCGTCTTATGGACATTTCTACATCGGTCCGAGAAGCCGCTGTCGATCTTCTCGGTCGTTTTCTTATCTGTCGCCCGGAACTCACCGCACAATACTATCCCATGTTATCGGAACGGATTCGTGACAAGGGTGTATCCGTACGGAAAAGGGTCATTCGCATCCTTCGTGATATCTGCGTAGAACAGCCAGATTTTCCACGCATCGCTGAAATTTGCGTTAGGATCATTCGCCGTGTTAATGACGAAGAGAGTGTGAAGGTATTGTACTTATAGCCTCTCAGTACGTAGTATTTTTTGGCTCACAAAGCGACCTAACTAATGCTACCCCTTTTCCGTAGAAACTAGTTAGCGAAGTCTTCCAGGCTCTGTGGTTCACTCCGGTTAGAGAGAAGGAATCCGTAAAACTGTTGCACAAGGTTATGAATATTACTGACGTAGTCGTTTCTGCTTCTAAGGATACCGGGATCGAATGGTTGGAGCAGTTTCTTGAGGGTGTAAGTTCTTAGAACTGTTCTCATGTACCACTTTTCTGCTACAATCTAGATGTATTATTTATTACTTATTTTTTTAGCTTTTGACGAAAGAAGAAGGTGAGAAGGTTCGTCCAGCGGAGAAAGCCTGTGTCCAGATAGTGGAGTGTCTTGTCCAGAATATTATGCGATTAGATGAAATTCCAGGCCAGACCAAGCGTCTTGTGGCTTGTCTCGCCACTTTGCACCTCTTTACGAAAATTAGACCCTATCTCACTGTGAAACACGCAATGTTGCTGCAGCCCTACCTGTCGGCTCATGTTCCAGCCCCTGGGGCACCCGCACAACCATCCTCGCATCTAGACTCTTTGATTCTTCACTACGTGGCGAGAATACTTGAGGTTACCATTCCCCTGATTGAACACCCCTCGGAAGCATTTTTGGCGCAGCTGGAAGAAGATCTCGTTCGACTTACCCTCCGACAGGGCAAGATGGTCCTCGAGTCGTGTGTTGCTTGCCTCGGTGCAGTGGTTAATCGGGTGTCGAAAAATTACTCTTTGGCAATGGAATGCTTCCGGGGTTTCTTCAATGCATTAGTCAAGATTCGAAGGGAATGCCTGACCTCCTCAGACAAGGCATCAATGCCGAAGCTACCGCGGGAACTTAGACCCTCTATTTTACGCTCATTGTTTACTGTGGGTTTGCTGTGCAAGCATTTCGATATCAATGTCTTCTCCACAGATGCAGAACCGAAAACGCTTAACCAAGTTTTTGAAATCCTCATGTTTTTCTCGGAACGCATGGTATCCGACTTGGAGGTGCGTAAAAACGCTCTCTCTGGATTGGGGTTTCTTTGCACGCGGCACAAGGAACTGCTCTGTGGGACACCTCTCTGCAAGTTCTACCATGAACTTCTTCAAGCTCCAGCTGACCATGATGTCGACAAGTCGGCTGATCTAGAGTTAAAAAGCCTTGTTTTGGAAAATCTTCTCAGCTTTTTCATGGAGGAGGAAAGGAGGATGTTAGAACAGGATGCTAGATGTGCGTTCATAAACGCTTAATGGAATTTCGTACCCATCGTGGCATTTTAACACGTCTTTTATCTCATCGTTAAAGGGAAAGCTACGCACAAAGAGGAGTCTTTGAAGGTGATGGGAGATGTCGCCTCAGGCACGGGTAGCTACGTGGCGCAATCTTACTTGAAGGAAATTATGGAGACCTTCTTTTCACCCTCTACCCCTGTCCGTTTGACCGCTCTTTCGGTTGTGACGACAATCCTTCGACAGGGTCTCATACATCCCGTCCAAACGGTGCCTTATCTTATCGCCATGCAGACAGATTCGGATGCCTCGACGCGCATCAAAGCGGAGGCTCAGTTACAAGAGATTGAAAACAAATTTCCTGGCTTCATTTACGTACGTTGTTATTTCTTTTGATGCAGGTTTTCTTTTTTGATCGTTAAGCATACCAAGAATGATTTTCGCAGTTTCTTAGGAATCCTTTTCCGTTTTTCTTATGTACTTTTTTCTAATTGTCACTGCTACCGTATTGTTGAATCGGTAGACTGTCAGTTGACTTGAGCGCGCCGACATTCCGGATTTTGGGAATTGTGGTCATGATCGCAACGTTGCATTTCTGGACAAACTGTCCTAATTAAGCTTTGTTTGAATTTGCAGTATTTTTATGAAGCATTTATTCCTAGAGTGTAATAATGGTGCTCCTGTAAGCCTGTTTTGTTGAATGCTTTTTCCAAATGGTGGAAAACATATTATCGGGGTGGGGGAGTGGATTACCTTCCTGAATGCTCTTCACCATTTTAGATGCGTGCGATAGAGGGTGTTTGCTTTTCATACCGTCTTCAACGGGTACTGCATTCGGCCTCAAAGATTTCACATGTAGAACGCAAGGGCTGTGGTGTTTATGACACCTCTGAGACCAACATCACAGCTACATCACAGTCAACTTCTGTAAAGCCGTCACGTCGAAGTAGTGGATGCAGCACCACCGACAACGGGGTATCAGCCAATGAGGGTAACATCAGTGATTCTGTTCTGGCCTCAGTCTATCCCTTCGCATGTCCTATTCGTGGCGCTAGGGACGTGGATTCTGATGTCCCAAGTGCCCTCAACTCACAACTTTACTCGATGCTACGGGTTAATCGGACCTCTAGGCGAGCATTTCTCAATGGCCTGATTAATCTCTTTGATGAGCTGCAGGTGAGATACGAGGTTGTCCGAGGAAAATCTTCTTTAGTCTGGTGTTCAGTTTGTGCAGTCCTGCTACTTAGTGACTATCGTGAAACATCTGGACATTTTTAGTGCTCGAATACCTACTACGATGGACCACCTCTAAGTTCTCTAATTGGCAAGCTCAGATATGGTAGACATTAATGTCTAGAGAATGTATTATAGGGCAAATCTTCGATGTAAAGGTTTTCAAAAATCCTTGTTATCGAGCAATCAGGAGGTTTAGTTGGCTTAATCTTGTTTTGTGATGCTGAAGTTGGTTGAATTGGTTTCTGTGAATAATGAGTTGTTTGCAGTCAGAAACGGCTAGATCTATATCAACTTATACTACGTCTAAGCAGTATAAGCGGGGCACTTTTTGGTTGGAGTTCAACTTGTACTGAATCAGTAGATTATATCGTGAAATCTTACTGTATAGAAATATTATTTTCCTCCTGTAAAAGCGTGAATTAGGAATGTTTGATTAATTTAGGGTTATTTCATGTTTGTGTTCCAGCAGCTATGAGTATTTAAGTTGTGGAATTCAATTGTCACTTTTAACTGTGCGTATTCTCAAATCAAGGCCAAAAAGTCAATAGCACGGTACGTATGGGTTACATTTTAGTAAAAATCACTTTTGTCATTTTGATTACAGAATATCTCTCTGGGAAGGCTCGTCTACGTGGCCGATAACCTCGCCTTCTTCCCCTATCAATGCCAGGCTGAACCTCTCTTTGTTATTCATCATATCGATCTTCTTGTTAGTGTAAACGGCTCCACAAGACTTCAGGCAGTTCGTGAAGCTCTCTTCCCGGAGTTAAAGGAGCTTCTTGCATCTCAGGCATCCATTAACAACGGCTTAAACAACACTAATTCCTGGGCAGTATCGGGTTTGGAAGGTAATCGGTTGCCCTTTTCCAAGGATTGCGCGGGCGTCGTTCCCAATGTAGTATCAGACTCACAGACTGGTGTGTTTGTTGCTAGTCCTTTTTCTTCTCAAGATCTTTTCGTGATTAATATTCCCATCTCATCGGCTTTTTTTCAGTTCAACAAGTTGTGGTAGATCAAGGGACTAGTATAAATGCAACGTTGACGCGACTAGAGGCGGAAGAGGAGAATGAGGATGCTTTGGTATCTCGAATCCTTTCGGCAGACTCCACTAGACTGGCGTCGATTCGTGAGTCTATCAGGGCCAGTCGCGCGTGTCTTTTGCTTCTTAATCTGAAGCAATACCTCAAGGAAGTCTATGGAATCACCGACAGGTATGGTGATTATTTCAGTTCTCAACTTCTTTGCAGCAAAATTCAAAAGTTTTCACCTTCCGATTCGGGTAAGCTGTGGGAAAAGCAGTTGACACGTAAGAGTGGTGTTCGTTTCTTCCCTGCGCTTTGTCTACGATCGGCTACTGAAGAACTAAGATCTGATGCATGTGGAACCCTTTTTGCTCCCGACAAATCGGGTAAGTTGATTTCAGGAATTACATGGTTGAATCGGCTGTTTAGTTGCTTATGTACTCTTTCATTTCTTAATCATAGCTATGCATTCGGGCATCACACATCATACCGCACGAGACTTGGTTTTGGAGTTCTTTGAGTTCCGCAAACTTATTCTTTCTATCGATCCGCCCGATGAAGACGGCTTTGATGCTACCGCAAATTCCGCTGCTAACGCCGATGGTCTTGGAGGCGACGATAGGCAAGCTGTCATGACAATGGATGGTGAGAGTTTAAGTAATACCACCGTTCAGTCCTTCGCCACTCAAGTTCATTTTAATGCTAGGCAATGTTGCTTTCCAGATATCCCACTTCGGTTGGGGCCTGATCGATCTCTGGTACCACAATCGCACAATCGGTCGTCGGATGAAGAGGACGATTCAGCAGATTCTGATGTAGGAACAATATTTGGCTGATGATACAGATGTGGAAGCACTGAAATGTGCTTAATCTTGCACATTGTCATGTGTATTGTAAATTTTCTGGCTTTGCTTTGTTAGATGTTGCTAACACTGCTAAAAAATTACAATTAGTTTTGAGATCGTTTCAAGTTTAAGGTCATGTTAGGCGATGCTTGCATATATTATTTTCTAGTTGAGGGTTTATAACTCTTCGCACTGCAATTTGTCACTTGAACTCATCATAGCCTACGATTCTTTAGGTCGGTGGTGCATCACGTCTTCTTTTGGCTCAGTCTGCGCCACAAAGGCGGCGTGCGGTCGTAGGAGCAGCAGGAGGCAGTGGTGGGGTTGGTAGTGGCCTCGGCCGAAATTTGCGAGCTTCTCGTCCCTCTGGAGGCGGTGGTGGTACGGTGTCAACGCCTGTATTGAAGCGGAAAAGTGTTAGACAACCCCGAGTTCGGGTTAGTTTCTGCTGCACATCTTGAACTCCTTTGCTTTATTTTTGGTTTATAACCGTGCACTAATTCTCTTTAGTCTGCCTACATCTCCAACAGCGAATCGGAATCCGAGGCTGAGACGCTGTCTTCAGAGGAGGAATCGGGTTAGTAAACGATCCCTCCGAACAATCCTTCTTCATTGGCAGCGCTTTCCTGAACACCCTCACACCGAAGGACTAGATTGTGGGCCCTATGGATTCTCCATATATATCGCTCCTTGTAGGCTGTTTTATGTATATACACCCCATTTAGTAGTCGACTGGAGCAGCCGTGTATTTTGCTGTACAATTCGCCTTTGGCCCTCTCCTATCCCTTCCCTTCGACAAAGATATCATGCAAATTATTGATTTTCCTCCCTATCCCCTGTAAAGTCACTGCTGTCACCACCTCCGTCGCTAGTACTGCTTGCGTGTAACTGTTTGTATGTGCGTTTCCCTGTAGACACTGTACAATAAAATCACAATGGCTTAGGAATGTGGCCTGAGAATGCACCATCTCTATGCGGAGGTCAGTACTCTTCGCCGTGATATTATTACTGTCTCTTTACCTCTAAAATATCCCTGATTGCGAATCCTACTTTTTCCTTCCCTATAAATTCTTCTACTCATAAAATATATATAATAACACGGAGGCCGGTTTATTGGTTTCGTTTCAAAGTCGATTGTTTAATTTTGTTTTACAGAAAAATAATACTGCGAACAAATTATCATTTAGCAGATGTCACCATGGCGCTTAAAGAAGTGTGTCAATCTGGCGCGTGATCGTGTGGTCACTTCGACCTGGCGGGTAGCCAAATTGTGCTCTGAGGTGAAGGATTGGCTAAGGGTTGCAATCGGACTTGTTTTCAGACACCCTGTAGTTGTAAGGCATCTGTACGGTTATTTTAGTAGGGGGACACCTATATGCGCTCTTTGGTAATTTTTAGCCTTGTTTGGGAGATAGAGTGCTGAACTTCTGGGGCATTCTTAAACTTCGTGAAAGGTAGAGATTACATTCATGGTTGGGTACGTATTTGCTACAATGGGATGTCGGGGTGAGGTTTGTTGCTCAGCTTGGTAAGTAGGGACGCCGTTGCATTTATATGTGTCATCTGTCCAGTGGGCTGGCTTGACCGATCTGAATAACAAAGTCCAATTAGGGGTTAACACACTGTTGTCACTTAATTCTCCTGTCCGATTAAACCTTGTTCTACGAGTAAGCCAGTATAGAAACTGTCTGATTAATCTAACAAATATTCCCCATCCCAGCTGTTACTTTCCGTCTTGGGCCTTTCTCTGGGTGAGCACATAGAGTGTGCATCAGTGTCGGTGTTCCTGTGCGGAAACAAGCGTCTAAGAATGTGCGCACTGAATGCGTGACAATGATATTTCAACAATGGCTGATGACTACCCTGAGACCAAAGCCACACTCCAGAACACCGCTAAACTTATTTCGAATTTTGCACTTCCAATGGTCCTCGTACCTACATGAGGCCTGCAGACTGCCGATCAGCATTTAGAGGCTCAGCTGTCACTGACCAATCACCTTGTCACATATCTCTTACAAAATCAATATTTTCGGGAGTATGGTGATGTAGCTAGGTGCAGCTTTTCCATTTTAATACAATACATGTTGCAATTTGTGCAAACTTGTAGCAACGATAGGTTATCGCCATCAACAGGGACTGGGGATTTATTTGCTGGCCGTCTTAAGAATAAAATTTGGCCGGAAATTGGGACTTAGTGCCTATGACTTTAAGTCGTTTTAGGCTACTACTTTCACTGACTGACGTGGTCTATGTGTGGACAATCTTAATTATGAGGAATTCATCGCGAATGTGCTCCGCCTTGCGCAAAGGTGTATTTGCTATGCGTAATAAATATAATTGAGCAATCAGCCTTGAAGTATTGCATCAAATGACCCTTAAATTAGTGCCATTGTCGATATAACTCAGAGCGTTGCCTAACTGTAAGTTAGAGGGACTTGGAAATTATATGCATTAACCTATATGGATTCATAGTAAAGCCTAGATTTATCATTGTACCTATACAGTACTCTATTTCAATCCCTACCAAGTTTAAGACGAGCAATTATCAGTTAAAACCTGCCTCAACTAGGAGTAGATAACTGCAGACGCCACTGGCCGGATAGATGTCGTGTGACATATATTAACAACAGATGGATGACAATGAATTTTAAAGGCTATCATTCTTTACTTCTTTCGCCCATAAAAATGCTCAATGCATTCTAAGTTATTAGATGGCTGACCGACTTGTAACGCCCGTTAAGCACCACCTCGCTCTCACATGACTGTGTTGTGCCTGTGCGTTAGGCTGCAAATGCAATGGCTCGCTTGTTGAAGATCAAGCAATAGTTTCAGCCGACATTCACTCAGTACGACTCAAACGTGAGCAACTGATTTTCCACCCTTACTTGGCATTAGACAACCACATGATCATGTACGAAATTAAGTGAGCAAACAGTAAGGCAGAAAAGGGAGTAGCCTGGGCCAGGCTTCCACTTAGCTTCTAGGAACAGTAAATATGAAAAGTAAGGTATTAATTAAGCTTATGTTGCGTCGACAAATGGTTATAGACTGTAATGTTAGCTACTTCAGCGAGTAGAGCACCATTCTTTACAGTTATTTGGTTTTCATTATAATAAACTATACACGCTTTTTAGTTACTTCATAAAGTATTTATGATAGGAGGTCAATGTTTAATAAATGCAATGGTAGTGAACCCGTTACCTTAGAAAATAATTTTAAAATAAACCTTAATTGGTCAGTTTAGACATGTGTTTGCCGAGATCGATGCTGGAACGCCCTACAGAAGGTTGTATACGCGTAACTTGCCAAGTAGTGAGAATCCTTTGTAGTATATGAATGTGTTATAATAAGGCACTGACAAATTGTAGAGAGCTTGGTTAGATAGCATTATTTATAGCAGAATGGCAATTCACGGAATCGTGTCGTGTTTGCAGGCGATCTGCAAAAGAGGATGTGATAAACTAAGTGAACAATATTTAACATTCAATTTATTAAAATAACCAGACCAAAATAGCATTTTTCCTAAAAAAACCCATTCCAACCTGACTTCAGGAATGCGAACCGGAGCTGTCAAATTTCCCGGTCAGTTGACGCAACTGCTCTTGACATGTGCTGTAGTAGCGTGCTTGAGCGGCTGCCATTGCCTTCAAACCATCGCTAAGACCCTCCTACAAGAATAAATACAACCCATACACTGTCTACTCGCATATAAATCATTTTCTACCACTGCTGAGGCAAAACAAATCATTTATGCAAGGTGATTTTGATATGAATTTAAAAAGTGTGTAGGGTGATTATATCTAACGCAAAAATGGAATAACGCATTTACGCAAATGTAATAGCTGACATTCACATCTTAATGCAGTAATTTGATGCAAAATTAATTTCAAAAATATCCAATCATTGAGAGGAAACGCTGCTCTGGCTTTGCACCAGAGCATGTCTCCTCTGGCATGTAAAGGTGCACATGAGACATCGACTAATCGATAACTCCGTGCCACGCGTCGCCTGCAAACTGCCTGTGTGGAGACACTTATGCACTTGAGTGAACTTGTTGGGGTGATTAACACTTGTGCTCCTTTTTACCTAATGATGCAGATGTTAAAGACCACTCGGATACCATTCAAGTGAATACTCTTAGGACATCGAGTTTTTCATAACACGCAAATGCATTCAAGTAGATGCTGCCACCCATTTAATCAAGCTTAGCTCTAAATAAGGCCAAATAAGGGAGTGGTCGAATCGTGACATGTTGTGCACAATAAACTTTCTTTAACTGCTAAGCACGATATGATATTAGCAAATGGGTAAAGGGAAAATAAAGAACCAACCTGGATTGATTTAAGTTGACAAACGACTTGTCTAGTAGCTACAATCTGCTCATTGTATTTAGCTTGAGCCACTTCCAGTGCAGCCAACAACTAAAAACGAGAGTTTCAAACATTATTTACTGTGTGACTTAAGCATAAAATGCCATGAGAAACTTGGTAATTACAGGTCTAATTTTTTCGTCCGATGTACAGGACTCTTTCTTCTTTCTAGCAGAGTCAAAATCCAAGCGTGCAAGCTCTAGCGAACGCCGCTGTGTCTAAATCAGATAATGGGTAGTACTAGCAAACGCTTTCAAAGTAGACGTGACATATTATTTTGAGAAAAAGAACTAAAGGGACAAAAAAATTTGAATAAGGAAATGTTTTCTAAAAAAGACATCGAAGATAGAATAAAGCCATGAAATTGCTTTAAGTATAATAAGTATCATCGGTTAATAGGTGTATAAACACAGTAGCCATTAGTTTACCTCATGCAGATTGATAACAGATACATGGAATTTAAACAAAGAATTGAGGACTTCAGAGTCAAAGCATAACTGTTTATTGAAAATTGATGCACAGTTTGCAAGAAATAATCCAGGTTTCAAACAACTTTCCTAGAAAATAGCAAAAGTCGTATTTGTGAAGCAAAAAGGCAAATTCTCTGATGTTTTGGTTGAATTACCCAACTCAGAATCTAGTAGTCATGGATTCCATGTCTTACAAAATCGCAATAACATACATTAATGCTTGGCCAGACAGTATCAAGGTAGTACTTAGTCGTCACCAAAATGCCTTTTTGAACTTCACTTATTAGCAAGCGCTCCGCAGTCCCAATATCCATTTGCACTTGTCCATACTGGGAAAGCATCACTCTGAGTATATCATCTATAATTGCGTAAAGCAGTTACAGTGGCTTATACATGGACGTAACTTTTAAACAATGCAATTTACCAGCCGAACTTTGAAACAACTCAGCAGCTAGATCTTGCTCTAGTTTCCCCAAAAGCTCAGCAGAGGTAAGTTTTGGCTGCTTTTTGGCATCAAACTTTTCCAATACCATGTCTTGCATCCGGTCAGCTAAAAATATGAAACCCAAATTCTAGCCATGGTTGTTTGGGGGTATGGGGTTAAGGGACGGATACATAAATTGTTAGGGCAAGTTATTGCCAAGTGAAATTATAAAAAGCCAAAAAACAAATTAACGCAGTTGCAAAATACCCGGATTAGGATTAAGCCATGCTGTGATGCCTGACTGCAATTTATCACAAACTTTCTTCAGTCTATCAGCAGTATCAAAATCAGCAACTATATCATCAGGGTGATTCGATCTCGACGCAGCGCCACGAATTTCGTTTGTAAACTACAAATGGTGTTTGTTTTTATTCACTCACTTGACTAGCACGGTTGAAAGCCGTACTAGCAGCGTCGATGAACTTTCCAAACGCCGCCATTTGAAGGGCGTTCAGAGATAGCCTTGAAGATACTGGTTTCAAATGATTTCAACAAAAATGTATTGTGAAGAAAAATTAGGGGCAAAGCTAAAAGTTATTGTGTAAAAAAGCTTAAGTTTTAAGTTAATGAGGCTACTGAAAGAACAGCAGACATTTTTGTGACCGTATATGGGTCGATTAGCCTTAGATAATATTAAAGCATTCCCCAGATTCTTGTTTACATCTTTTTGGATTTAAAATTAAATTTTTAGTTGCGCTTAATTTTTGCTGTTGTACCTACATGAAACGTCTACAGAAATGGGTCACACCCCTAGTCATCCCCAAAGACGAACGAGACATTTGCAGGGTCCCGAGACTTCCCCGAAGATGGAAGAAGACACGATACTTGGGCAAAAAATATATATTCAGCACCGAGAAGGTGTTTGGGCTACTGGCATGGCCCGAAGGCCAGCCCACCCAGCGAGTTATAAGAAGGCACGTTCAAAAGTGGCGCTTCACCGATACCGAAGGACAAACCGCCATCGCATTACTCAATACTTGGGTAGACTATTTAAACCTTTTGCATACAGAAGGGAGTAGAGCTAGTAATACGGCTCAGACATCAGCTTACCTGATCAAGGTACATCAGTCGGGACACAAAGTAGTCCTTTAGCGGAACCGAGTTAAACAATCCGATATATTGCACTTGATTGAGCAGTGCTTGTATGCGATGCAAAATGATAAGGGAAGACTATAGCACACATCTCGCCTCACATACAATGGAGGAGCTCCTAGTGCTCTTGAAACCAATACGAGGCATTAGCCAGGTATTCAAATTGTTACATTAATGTATAATTTCCAGCCAACATTACGATCCTATATATAGTTTTCGCCTTATTTAAAATTAAAGGAAATTTCTTGAATTTTTATTCTGATAGGCAACCCTCTGAAGACTGCTCTTTTGAAAAAAATGGGTAAATGTTGCCACTGTCTGTGGAGTCTTAGGTTTTCCCAATTAAAACTAAATAATTTTGTCAAGAGGAACTGCTAATATCTCATCATTTAAAAAGTCTTTATTGCAAAAACATGCCTTCTGTGGTATACTATCGAAGTACGGTGTTGATTGGAGCGAAAGTTCGAAACTGTGTTTGTCTTTGGTAGGGTTTTTGGATGCTTGTGTTACACTTTTATTCTTTATTATGGGCTTGCATCTTATTAAACATATTCATTTCACAATAGATGAATGCAGACGGTGTATTCCCACCTGAAAACGCCCCAGTGAGCTGCCCGGGTCCCCAAAGCGAATCTGCGGGGCGTGACGCCCTATGCGCTGGATGTCCAAACCAAGCACTGTGCACAAGTGGTGCCGCTAAACTATCGTTAGAAGAGCGTGAGCCTGAGGTTGTAGCTGAGCTTCGCAAACGTCTTGGTCGAGTCAGGCACTGCCTCTTTGTCCTCTCTGGTAAAGGCGGTGTAGGCAAGAGCTCTGTGTCAGCCTGTCTGGCTTGGGCTTTTGCTCGTCAAAATTACTGTCGCGATCAGGTGGGGCTGCTGGACTTAGACATTTGTGGACCCTCAATACCCTGTTTAATGGGATGTTTGGATTCTGAGGTGAGCTTTAGATGGAATCTACAGAGTCTTAATTAGGTTCACCAAAGTGCATCAGGTTGGTCGCCAGTCTTTGTGGCAGACAACCTAGCACTGATGTCTGTAGGCTTTTTGATATCGCCTAATCAGGCACTGGTTTGGCGGGGACCGCAGAAAAACTCCTTTATTCGTGATATCCTTTGCAAGGTCTCTTGGACTGATGCTTATAGCGACGAAACAGCCCCACCTTTGGATTATCTGCTAATCGACACTCCTCCGGGTACCTCAGATGAGCATCTCTCATCTGTACCCTACATAAAAGCTGCCGGGTGTCCTGTTGCTGCCTTGATTATCACTACCCCTCAAGAAGTTGCTCTTAGTGACGTCAGGAAGGTTCGTTCTTAAGCAAACAGGTCGGGGCTATTTAAACACCTTTCATTCCAATAGGAGATAAATTTTTGTGAAAAAATCGGCCTCCAAGTAGTAGGGATTGTCGAGAACATGTCTGCAGTTGAGTGTCCCAAGTGTGGTTTTTCAACTGAGTTATTCCCGAGGACAACTGGTGGAGCCGATTCGTTGAGCGGACTGGAGGTTATTGGTCGAATCCCGTTCGATTCTCGACTAACTCGCTGCTTAGATGAAGGGCGATGTCCTTTCGAGGAAACCGGTATGTTCTGGTCTTATTTATTCTTTTAGACTTTTGTTGTACTTACTCTATCTATTATCCCTTATAGATGAGTTGGCCGTTACAGAGTCGTTTGACTCATTGACTACCATTATCAAAATGAAACTTAATCAGATCCGTGTTTGACTAAATAAAGGTTTTAATTTTCATATTTGAAGGAGAACCCGTTTTGCTAATTATTGTTGAGGGGAAATTTCGCAATTTGTTGTTGAGAAGTAATGTTTAAATTGAATGTGGTACGCTAAAATAGGAAAAGCAAGAGCATCTATACGGAATCTACTATTCTGTAATAAGTTTCTACAACACTGATGACCGAAATAAAAGTGCTGTCAATCTGACAGTTCTTGCAAATTCCCCTCGGAATCAATGCTTGAAACACTTTCCTCAGGCAAGCTGCTTACGTCCTCGTTTAACGTTGCCTCGTCATCCGGTTCGACCTTGGAATAAATAATATTTTCGTTAAAGGAATCCAAGGCAAAATTCTGTACAAACCATTGGCTACTGATCTTCTTATAGTAGACTTTAGGAACGCTCCTTTACTAAGTCGCTCCCAGTGGTTATTGGCCGTGACCCCATTTCATTACATAGACTTATTGAATGGAAACGCTACTTTTTGTTGACTGAGAAATTTATTTTTAGTAAACAGAAATTGAAATGGTCGACAATTTGGCCATTTAACTGATTTGACTTTTAAATTATGTATGACGGCGTCTCTCCAGAGATGTGTTTTACACAGTTTCAGAGGGCACAACTTGAGTTTGCAAAAATTACTTTTTGTAGATTTTTCACCTCGCTCGAGCCAACCAGCTTTAACTGAAGCAAGTGATAATTTGAATGTACTTGTATTGTCGTCACAAAGTTGCGAGTTTTTAGTAAATTTATGGCAAGATGGAACTTACCCCTGATTTCTCCACGTTTTGCAGTCTGCAGCTTTTTATGCGTTCCATTATCTAATGATGGACAAGAAGACAAAGTAATAAAGTCTACAAACCAGCGCAAAATTACTTTTTTGCATACTTTTACCTGATCCACAACCATGGACATTTTGGAAAGTTTGCGATAGTCTGGGATGATTTCAAGGCTTCCATTGGGTCCAATTTCTTCCATTTCTTTAACTTCTTTGACCTCAATGGCCTTTGCTTTTTCATCTGCCTTCCTCTTGTCTTTCGTAAGCATCTTCCTAAAAGAGCATACGTTTCATTATCGTCAACTTACACGGGGCCAACTTTACATTTGGGATTACACTTACTGAGCTTTTCTTTTGAGATGGTTGTAGGCAGTAGGGTAATTCTTCATGGCTTCTTCGAAATCAGACTTGGTCAGACGGAAGAGTGTCGAATAACCTTTAGAGCGAACTGTAGCTGTACGTATGTTTTTGCCCTTTAGCGCCAACAGGCTTAAACGAGCGAATGAGCAAATCTCGGGATATATGTGGCAAGAAAGTAGCATAGCAAACAGAAATGGTCGTAGGGGATCTCTCACCTTATCTCTCCGAAAACGCTCCCCTCCTTTAGAGTGACGTAGACAATTGAATTATCTGGCCCACCAACAACTTCAACAAAACCCTGTTTCACAATATACATCTCCATTCCAACCTCTCCCTGTGTAAAAGCATGGAAATTGTAAAACACTACTTCTCAATGCACTAAACTACTGGCTGAAAAGGGATGCTCTTCAATTCGCAGTAACAGGTAGTGATATTTGGATTTCCTAGGTCTACAATTACACGCCGAATATCTGCCTCGATGTTAGAGGGAGCTCTGTAAGGGCAGTTAAGTCAGGTTGGAAAAAGTTCTGAAATGCTTATACGCCTTACCAATATGCATTCAAAATGCAGACATTTATTAATGTGGAGAACTTTTTAAAAGCTAGTCGGGCCTTCAATCGAATTGTTTTTCTACAGATCACTAAGCACGTCTTGTTGTTTTACGGATTTATCGTAAAACGAAGATGGTACTTATCTGGCAGAATGAAATATCTCATTTAGAGTTGATTGAAAATGTAATTGACAAAGCAGTTATTTATGACAAAAATTAGTATTTGTAAAAAACTTCTCAGGACTTTTTATTTACAGAAATGTTAACCATTACAGTCTACAAGTCCTTTCTAATAAAAGGTGAGATTAGGAAATTTTCCTTTATGGAGCATTTTGGGAAACTAGGAGGAAACCTAACTCAGGGCATCACAGTTTCCATTTCGCTTTTGCTTTCCATCTGTCTATTCTTTTTCGCGCATGACTGTAATTGCCTTATATTAAGAAAAGGTTGTGCTTACTTGGACCTGGGATAGGTGCTATTAAAAGAATGTGGATGATGACACTGTGCCATTGGGTTCAAAACAGGGAAGGGGGAAAATGATGGAGATCACTGTTTAAGAGCTCCTTTCTGATAGATTGACGCATATCTATGCCTTACAATACATGAATATAAGTGATCACATGCATCTGACGAGTGTCTACACGTCACAAGTTATTGCAGCAAGCTATTCCAAAAACTATAGGAACTTTCGATTGGCTAGCACTTTAAATGATTGACAATATATCTACCACTGTGGCGGTGGTTTCATTTAAATAGGCGAGTACTTTAAGAAGCCAATGTTACAGTATCTTTCCCTCATTCCATTGGCGAATTACAATTTGCCACCAAAATCTGTGTGAAACATCGCCGTTTCTTGGCAGTTATATTGAGAAAGGCTTTTTGGGTCAATTGTCAAATATGCAATATTAAAGGAAAATTATGTTATACCGAACTTCGACTATATTCCCACCTTCTCACAGATCAAAGCTCCCGGCAAGAAGAGAACAGGCTTAAGCTTGCATATGAGATCAAAAATCATCGTCTTCTCACAGTTTTTGAAAAGGGACACCTTGCTCAACGTCTTGTAGTGAACATCAACCAACACATCCTTCTTCAACTTCAATGGAAGCGCATCAATCAGCATATTTTCATCTGAATAAACAGTGAGTGAGTCAACCATACGTACGCACCGAGAGTCTTTTGTTGGCTCCAGTTGTGGTTGAACCAAGTCCTAACCATGTCAATGTCCCTTTCTGGTGCCCTTATGCGCTTTAAGTAGGTTAAAGTTGCGTTCATTAACTTCTTGTAGGCCTCCTTTTCCGCACTTTTACTGTCCAAAATATCGATTACCTGGAAACAATTCACCAGAATGGCATAAAATACTATCAAATTAAAGGGAGAAGTATTCTCAAATGTGAGTGCTTACCTGACCAATCAGAATGGCGGAGATATAGACTCCAGTCAGCCAGTAGACGGTCATGAAGACGAACTCAAGTGGATTGGTAGCATGAGGGAGGTTGCCAATCGAAGTCGCCATTTTGGTAGCCACATAGAAGGAGTAAATATACCTGAAAGAAAAGTTTGACCTTAAAGCAGAATAATTTAACGGTTTAGGAGAATCTGGTGTTAAAATATTCTTACGGATTATTGTTCTGGTTACCAATGGACCAATCACTTGCATTGAGACCGTGGATACGGTTAAAAGCGTAGTAGCCACAGCTTTCCACGTGAATGACGTAGATTAGATAGATAATTGTCTTGGCCAATCTGACCGCAAAACCGGCACTGACGCGCAAATCAGTTCGATCAAAGAACTCGAGCATAACGGGGAACTATCGATGTCAATTTCAGAAGATTTTGGAAATTTGTCAATAACCGGTGAATTCACGTCCAAATCAACAATAAGTTAAAAAGTAGGAATAAAACCTGTAGTGGATTGGAAGCAGTGAGTCGTGCAAATGCGCGTCAAATAAGATACTCGTCGAAGTTGAGTTCATCCTACAGGAATATTCGGGGAGCAATTTTCCAAATTTTGCAGGCTTACATATGTCTACAAGGTATTTTAATATTAACTTTCTGAATAATTATTGACGGTTAAACATTTCTTCAGTCCAGCTTGCAACAGCGGGCACCCTCCATCTTGGTCTTTATTAATATCTTCTAATGCTTTATAGGAACGAATTAAAGAAACTATTGGATGTACTTCAAACACTTTTACTTAAATAATGCAAACAAAAATATGGACAAAATTTTTCCCCGAATATTTGAATACAAATCAGCGAACCTTCAAAAAACGAAGAATTCTATATCGAGCCGTCGGTTTTCCATGGATAAGGCCCAACAAATCAAACGGAATCACCGACGCAACGTCCAACTAGAAGTGGATGGCAGATATTAATTGAAATGTTCATTATCAACTAAATTATCTACCTTGAAATTTAGTTGCCTCAAGTAGTGTTTTGCGCATCTTTTGAAGTTCACCTGCATTCCAATATTCATATGATTAAATGTAAGAGGGTTACCATGACAAAGCCATTTTCGATAAACTGTACTCTCGGCTTTATTATGATCAAGTCTGCCAAATAAATCGCATCGGCTACACTGTCACAAGTCAACCATGAATTTTGATACTCAACTCCATCGTAGATGTCAAAGGCCTCACGAAAGGGAATCGCTACTCCATTGTAAATAAACGCGAGCATAACAAAAAAGAGCCAGATTATGTAGAATAAGCCTATAAAGAGAAAAAAACAGAAACCAACATTTATTTAAATTTAATAAGTAAAAGGTGAGTTGTAGGAGCATTACCAGTGGGTTCAATAGTTGCTTCGACAAAGTCTGCAGGTGTTGGCAACCACGAAGGCAGACGGAAACGCCAAGTTGTTGAATCACTCATAGGCAATCCAAGAACTTCAACTGAAACATATGGGAATTTGTAATAAGATATAAATTATGATGTTTAAGTGGGAATTGAGTAAAAAGGAATGATCAGAATAATCTGACAAACCTTCGTTCTGTGAAGGCACCAGATTTCCGCCATCATCAACAACAACCAAGTAGAAGGCTCTCACATCGTTGGTTTTCAGAAAGGGTACTTTATTGGGGCTTAGTGGAATTAGACATGATGGTCTTTGAATATGCAAATATCTTGAAGGGTTGTGCCAAAGTGTAAATTTTCTCTTATCTTCTGCAACACCAAAGTCAAGCGGAACCAAAGGAGTCGCATTCAGGGTGGTACTTGCTAAAAAGGTTAATTAAAACTGAGTGGAGTTTTTTAAATAAGTAATGATTCGAACCAATCCAATAACTCGGAATAAATACCGTCATCTCCACTGTCCGATGCAATCAGTTGGTTGCATCGAATGTGACTTGCAGCATTTGGTAACTGCACTTCCCTTTCCCGGAAAGTGCAATGGAGGTTGTTTAATTTACGGGGCAGAACAAATAGTTGTACAAAATAAAAGGAATACTTAAACAAAACCGACGACACTGCATAGAGCGATAGACTTTTCGATTATTATTTTTCTACTTCAATCACTAAGTTTTATATTACATACCTTCCGCGTCCGTGGTTTCTTCATTACTACTTTCACTTCCTTCTTCTTCCTTGGGCGTCAATTCACGTTTTCGAATTGTTTCAGTTCTCTGCGTAAAACTCTGTCTCAATTGCCTCAGACGTGTTTTAATAACCGCGTTCAGTTCTTCACTTGGTGCCAATAGCCTAAAACAGATTCTTAAAAGCTTATTTTGCGGAAATGTACATAACCTTTGCCAGCTGAAAATAACGCAGAGTCCGTAATTAGACAAGGATAGGTTTAAGATCCTTAAACTTATGGGAAATTTGGAAAATACTAATGTGCTTCACTCAAGTGAAGGGCAACCAAGTATCCACAAAATGTTTTCAAACACCTCATCGTTGAAGCATCCACCACTGTAAACTACCATTTTTTCTCAACAAGGTACAAACTTGCGAATGCCACTTTGATGGACATTTTGCATTTTCGAGGCCTGGTTTCAGCCACCTCCACCGTCATCTCACCTTATTTTCCACGTCTCCATTCAATTTCTCACATGATTATGCGCTTATCTGGCGCGGATGGAAATAAAATGCGACTACTACATGGTGCATTTTTGATTAAGAGAAAACTAAAATACACTATATTTGAATAAGATTAGCAGTTTCTCCCCATTGAGTGATTTAATAGTCTTAGCTACTCCTTTTTTTAGATAGATGCCACCCATCATCTTTATTTGCGTTTTAGCAAATCAAGAGGTCCTAGCAAAAAATGTGTCCAATGCCCATACGGGCACAGTATAGCCTTGTGGAGATAGAGCATGTGTGCCTTAGAAGTGTGTGGTGGGGAGCATGGGTTACAAGTGGCTAGTTTGGAAACATCCAGTGATGTTCTTTCACTCAAAGAACGTTGCAAGTCATAATGCACTTCTCATCCTATCATTCAACGTGGAAGTTAATCAAATAGTCAGCAATACAACAGCCCTTTCCCATCGGTCTCTTTTACGGCATAAGTGAAAGAAGCAAATAACGAATAGACGGTCTTTGAAGATTACTGGCTACCATGCTTTTCCATCTATGGCGCGTGGGATGGGTTCGCCAATTTATATCCACGACTTCCCTTCTCTCTTAATGTGTGTGCAAACCATTTTTTTTATTACTCGAAATTATTTATGACGCAGTCACAAGTGATCCAAAGCAATGGTAACATAAACTTCTTTGAGATGAAAAAAAATAGAAAATCTTATTGAAGATTATGCATTCATACTAAGATGCATCACCTCCTCGGTCAAAAAACGAAATCATCTCTGGCCTGTAGGTTCTACCATAGCATAGCGACAAATTTGAGTCACATCCGTCAGATACGTTCAACTAATGTTAGGGTATGTGAAGATGGGCTCAAAATAGGAGGAAAGTGGGGGAACAATGCCATACCAAAAAACTGACCCACTTTCATCTGTTTTTAGAATGCATGCCGATAAGCGAAGGCACACGTTTTGAAGGCGCTTACAGGTCAAAATATATAATTAAAGTTACTTGATATTACAGAGCTTTGAAGGGTACTCTACCTCTAATATCTATGATATTATCCCAAATGATAATATCCTTCTTACAAGACTTCAGTAGTCATAAGTAAAGATGATATTTTAACTTCATTTCATTTCTTATACACTTCTAAACAACTACTCGAAGACCAAAATTGAACTCATATTTCTCCTAAAAGATACGCTTTCAAAAAATAAGTCAATGGGTGAGGCAACGTCATCTTCATTCATTTTTAAAAATTCTATATTTAAATAATCATTTCATTGGCCTATCCAGTATGTGGAGAGTGATATTAGTTGTTTATTAAACTATCTAACCCAATTTTCATAAGTTTTATAAAATTTCTGAACTAAATCGTGAGTAACAGAACAATTGATTCACAACAAAGACATCGACTTTGGAGGAAGCAAAAGCAGGCGATAGACGGTGGACTTTAAAGACAATTCATTTGCCCTTCACCTCTTTTACGGATATTAGAAAAAGCATATTTGGAAATGCAATGCCTGCTGATTCTTCAACTGCTTTCTAATGGAAAATTGCCTTTGCATTTCATCTTTCATCAAGCAAAGGAATATGCCATCGGTAGTTTCCACACATGTCACTCATAAACCACTTTATTAACTACACTTTTTTAAGGTATACACTGCATTATCCACACCGGACTGCTCTCTTTATATGCGAGTGTTAGCTGCACTAAAGAAGAAACTGTTTACTAGGAATCGGTCAGTTTCTGAAGACCAAACAACACCTATGGCTGACATCAGCCGACTCAAAATAGCTGGAAGTAATGAATCAGGTAGTGGGAAGATTTGGGTTGAGAGATGGGCTGCGGTAGGAGCTGGTAAAGTGAGAGGGTGCAAGAGACGAAGATACTGCCTCGTCCTTATTCCAATCTCCTATTATCCTACCTGATACATCTACAAGTGTTAGTGGTTGTGCTTTCTTGACATTAGCAGTAGACAACCACATGATGACATGGGAAGTTGAGTAGACATTCGAGAAATGCACGTTGGATAGAAGTGTGAGCGTTTTGCAAATTTGGAATTTCCAAGTGTGTGACGACAAATATTTCAGCAAACAAAATACTTTAAGAGGTTTCCAGCAATTATTTGGCCTTTTTTATAAAATATGCGCAAATTTTTTCAATTAGCATTTATGGGTCATTGTTGATAGTAAAACACTTTCTAAAATCTACTTCAAAGTTATTTTGAATGCACTTTATCTACCATTTATCATTTTTAAAATGTTAAATATTAGGTGTTTTGTTCGAAGAAAACTTCCTTACCCATTTGCATAAGGACGAAGAAGATTTTGATTTGTTAGCCGTGATTTCTCCGTGGTTTTGGCTAGACTGCTGTTGGCTGAAATTTCAGCATTCAAACGGAAACCAAGCGTACGCACTTTGAAATGCAAAAAAATGCATCGAAGCACAAACCCCAACTTACAGTAGGATTGCACCGCCCTCTCAATGGTACATTTTGGAATGGCTTTTGTGTAACTCTGCAAAGCCTGAAATAGGAAAAGGTGGCTTCAAAGATATATTAACCTCCAGGTACATAAAATTTAGGCTCCAGCGCTCCTGCTTCGGGTAGCCATAGGTTATCAGCTAAAAACTATTTAAAAAAATAAATATTAATGAATTATTCTCACAATTTTTTTGTTGGTAGATCAAAATATCTCAGGAAACAGAAGCAAAAGCAGTTATCAATGACTTCATTGGACAAATAAGCCATTATAAATATTCAACTTTCCATATTTATGTGCATAAGGCTTGTTTCCAATGGTCCATGTTACAAATATTTCATCTTTGAGAAAAAATGACGAAAAGTTGTGGAATTTAAGACTGAATTAACAATTCATTCAACTTCCCCGGAAAAAAGGGAGCACAAACTACGCTATGGGAAAAATGACTAAAAAAATTATTTTGAAAATTTAAAAGGATTTTCTCGTGCTTAACAACTGAATCCCAGCCCTAATTGGGAAATAAAGCAGATAAGGTATAAAATAGGCATTAGTGGGGAACTTCCTAACATGTTTTGGCTGTTAAAATATTTATCATTATATTCCATCATATTTTGCCATCCAGGTTCACACAAGCAGTGGATTCCAAATTTGCGAAA